GGAGTCAACCTTCTTGACCCGTTTATAACTTGTTCTCTCCACTTCGGAATCAGCTTCGTCTTCTTCGTCGAACTCATGTCTTCTATGTGATTTGAAACCGGAAGAGGACTCCAAATCATCCAATCCCACATTCAACAATTTAAATTGGTCATTAACAGCCTTGATGGAGAATTTCATGTCAACCTCTTATGGTTCTCCTCCTTCCTTACTCATGGTTTCAATCGGCAAAATTAAATAAAATAAAAGGTGTTGTTCCTCACACACTTTCTCATGTGTTTGCACTCAAATCGGGTTGTTATCACTCATGTTTCACAGTATTTTGGCTTTTTCTTGATGATGATCTCTCTTGCCTTTTGTAATGACTCCATTCTACTCATATTCTTTTAACAAAATGCATAGTGAAAATTACATGTAAAATAGCATAAAAGTTGGGCCCAAATTTTTCTTTTATTAAACATATATACTCTTTGTACAAAAAGTAGTATCATGTACAAAAACATCAAACAGGGTGGACAGTGTAGCCAGTTCTCTTCACTTGATGACGTCCATCCGACTATGTCCTCACCTAGATCCTGCAAAAACATAGGGAACAACGGGGTGAGCACAAAACAATGCTCAGTAAGTAAATCCTCTACTCATAAATCCCCGTAACTCTTTCTAATTCTTTCCCTACAAATCTCATTTACTCTCTCTATTTTCTCTTTCTCGTAACTCTTTTCTACTAACTCTTTTTAGTAAGTCACGACCCCATCTGACCGGAGGCACGGCTGGGACTCACTCCCACTCTACGTGACTTGTACTCATTCTAGCCGATCGGACTCGGTTATGCATGGATTCAGAACCTTTGGTCATGTGAGTGTATAAACTCTCTCTCGGGTACTCTCGGGTATAGCCCTCATCCGCATGGACTCTCACGGGCTACACCACTTCTCTCTCTTATACTCATGCCGCTCTCTCAATGCGGCGTACATGCGGGAATACTCTACCCTTACTCACAGATTCCCCATCGCACAACTTACTCTATTCTCTTGATTAGCACTACTTTCTCTTTGTTCTCTAGTGCTCAATTTCTCTTTCTCTTTACTAATAGAGAAGATTATTCTCAACATTCTCTACTCTTTCTCAAACTAACACTCATAGTGTAACTTATACTCAAAAATCTCTACTCTCTCTCAAGCTATTACTCAATGCATAACTAATGCACATGGGTGGTTTATGCTCATTGATGCACTTAAGAAATGCCAATATGCAATGTTACAAGAATTAAGGTTCACAATTCATGCTCACATTTCTCTTAGGCATTTCATCAAACAATTCATGTGCATACAAAATCTCTACTATAATTACTACTCTACTACAATCTCTAGCCATCCAAATTGGGAGAAAACTCCCTCAAACAACCCTAAACCATGTCAAGGAAAACACTTCCAAATAGGTTTACACAACATCTCCCAAACTTCAACTCAATTTTCACTTCTCAATACACATTCAAACACTCCTCATACATGAAGTATATCCAACCACCACAAAATAGAATCTCATCTCAACTCAATTTTTCAACAAGCATAATACATACTCATACATGCATATATCTCTACTCAATTTCTACTCAAAAACTTATTCAAATCTCAACTTGGTTGAATTTACTTACCTTGTGGGGAAATAGCTTCTTTAACACTTCTCATTTCCTTTGGGAGCTTGATTTCTCTCTACAACTTCAAATAACAACCACAACATAAGACTTTAATCAAAACATAATAAAACTCTCATCTAAAGCAAGAATCCTTACCTTAGGATGCTTTAGATTAAAACTCTACTAAAAACTACCCAAAAAAGTCATTTGAAATCCTTGGAAGATTGAAAGAAATTTGAGAGAAAATAGAGAATGGAAGAGGCGGTGGAAATGGATGAAATGAAGGGTTCTCCACACTTAACCCCTTTTTAGCTCAACTTATACACAAGGATTCCCATAGTGCCCTTACTTTTTCTTGAAAATTCCATCCATATCTTTTGATTCCTTACAATCACACCCCCATACTAACATATTCTCCATGAAATTTCCTTATAATTTACTCCCCACTTTTCCTGCTAATTAGGGGTAGGATGGTCAAATATCCCCTAGGGAAGAAAATATCTAAAACTTAACAAACATTTTGGTCGGCACGTCGCCACGGCGAAGAAGCTTCTGTCGCTGCGGCGAAACTGTCCAGCAGCTTCCCTATGAGCTTCAACACCTCTTCACTGCGGCGAAGATTCTTCTTCAACACCTCTTCACTGCGGCGAAGATTCTTCTTCGCCCCGGCGAAGCCTGGAACACTAAACTTCTTCTATTTTCAACCAATTCAAGGCAAGTATTCAACATACTACTCAATCAAAGGCCAACCAAACAATAATACGAATAAACCGACTCAAATAAGAGGAAAAGAAGAAACATTAGCTACGTACCTCAAGGGGCCGTTACACCTTTTACCACTCAAAGCCAAGCCGGCCCCCTTTATGTTCTTAACAAAATCAAAGAATTCAACAAATCTCAAGAAGCAACCGGTTAGATGGTGACAATCTAAAAAATCAGAACTTTAAAACTTAATTGAGGCAAACGGTGAACCGAAAGAAAGACGCAAAATGACTCTAAAGAACGAAGAAAAAAATAAGAAAACTCTAAAAGGAAGCAAAAGACATGTGAAATAAATCACTAGAATTGACACTAATTGATTAAAAAGGCAAAAGACACAAAACAACTTTGTATATACTTGAAACAATCACTAGAACAAAAAAAATAAAGGGAAACTAGAACAAAATAAAAAGGAAACTAGAACAGAATGAAGGAAACTAATTCAACAAGAATAAAAAATTCAAGCAAGAAAACAAGAATTGGAAACTTACTTCAACAAAAATAGGAAACTTAGCAAAGAGAACAAGAATGGGAAATTTAACAACTCGAAATTGCCACTTTGTTCTTCTTTTTTTTTTTTTTTTTTTTTTTTTCTTTTTTTTTTTTTTTTTTTTTTTTTTTCAGAACAAAGATGAATTGAACACAGAAAATAAAGCACAAGAAAATTTTTAAAAAAAGGAAGAATTCAAAGAGAACTACGAAACGAAATTCAAAGAAAATGCAAAAGAACTATGAAAGGACGAATTCAATATTTTTTTTTTTTTTTTTTTGAATTAAGAAAGTAAACAAAGAGTGTTGGAGATAAATGACCTGTTTCCAACAACCAAACCTCTAATACCAAATGATCTAAACCCTCTAGGCGAATTACCTTAGGAACCCACACACTCAATGGAATAGGCACAAGTTGGTTTGCTAGGAACGTATTGAAGATGATCGAATTAGAACCCTAAGGAAACTAAGTCCTTAAAACCCTAATCTTGAGATGCCACAAAGGTTGATCACTCCCTTTGATAAGTCGAGATTCAAGCATTCAATCAAGAATACAAGAAGGCAAGCAAATAGCTTTCTGAAATAAACTTCAATTGATAATAATTTGTCTCCCCCAAAATAACATGGCCGCCCCTTTTTATAAGCAGCAAACCCTAAAAGAAAGCCCTAGCTAATTGAAAAATGGGTTGGGCCTAAGTACAAGCGAATTTGGCCTAAATAAACCTTAAATAAATAAAAGACTAAAGAATCTAATGATAATTAAAACATAAAAAAAAAAAAAGCCGAAGATTAAAAAAACGAAAATTAATTCTTAAATTAATCCTTGCATCCAACTTGATCTTTCGAATCTACCCCTTGCGCAAAAAGATAATAAACCATCCTTGGTGAAGCTTTGAAATCTTCGAATTTAGTCTTAGAGTCTTCTAGTACAACCTCTTTGTATTGCACTTTCATGATCAAGCCTTGCAAAGCCTCTTTCATCCTATTTGTCTTTGCCCTAGTCATTGGACCGTCAATTCCTTGCAAAGGATCTTGGGAATATTTAAGAACATCAACTTGGTCAACACCTCGATCTCCATTACAAAAATTTAAAAATCTTACAGAAATGCCCTTTCTTACAACCAACTCCACAAAATACACATATAATTTATAAGAATAAAAATGAGGGGTTTTACATATTGTATATATAAGTATGTGTTGAATAGATTTTTTTTCGGTTAAACAAAATCTCAAATTGAAATTTCATTTTGTTGCATACATATATATATGGTAAAAAAAAGATATAAGATATATCCCAAAACCATAGAACTATTATTCACGACATCACCACAACTATACAAAATACTATAGAGAAATTAAAGTTCCAAGATTTGGCTAATCTTGAAGAGCAGAAAAATAAATTTTCTCAATCATGCCAATGTTAAATCCTCCAACGTAAAATTTCTATAGGATTTCTTAAATATAAATAAAAAGAAATTACTTAAAATTAAAACTGTACTAAATAAAGGTGTGCGGGTTTGGTACCAACTCAAATTCAAAGGAACCGGAACCGGCCGGTTCTGATTCTGAGACGTCAGGAACTGGAACTTGAAACATAGGTTTTGGTTTCGGTCCCTATAAGTTAGGAACTGGAGCCTAAAACATAGGTTTCGAATTTGGTTCCCGTTCCTATTCTGGGTACTCGGGATAAATTTAATTAGCCCCTACTTTTAAATGACAAATAAACCCTATAAAAAATGACAAAGACACCTCAATAGTTTACAGAAATTACAGTTCAATCTTTGTTCCTACTAGGATACCCTATTCTTAGCTCCAGTTTTGATTCGTACAATGGTGGAATTGAAACTGGAACCGCAAAATACCGATTCTGGTTTTTGAGAACCAAAAATAACCTTGTGAAGGCTAGTTCCGAGTAGGAATCGAAACCAGAACCCCGGTTACCCATTGGTTCTGGTTTCACCCTAAATTCTTGCACACCCCTAGTACTAAGTAATAAAGATAGGAATGACAAAGAAAGAGCAGAGAATTCATCATCCCAAATGCTTAAAATAGTTATTGAAAATAAAAGTTCAAAGTTAGACTGATACACAAGCTAAAACACACTAAAGCACAATAACATTTAAACATCTATTGGGGTAAAAAATCTCATAGCAGCTTCAAAATCCTCTAATTTGATCGTAAGCAATTCATCACTCTCTGCACAATCATCACTAATCCTAAGATCCAAATTCCTCTTTGCATTATTTAACATTATCTCCACTAAACTTCCATTCATTTTCATACGCTGCTTTTCAGTTGTTGCTCTCCTTATTAGCTCTGCAATGGCATTTACACTACAAGAAGAATGTAATTTAAACCCATGTATCAAACTATCTTCCGCTTGATTATTCATCTTGAAATGGAGAATATTAGCTAATTCTAAGCAACTCAGATCTTCAAACTCAAAAATTTTTGCAACCCTTCTGCTGAAACGTTCATTAGAAGATATTAAACATTGCATTGCTTCATTGTAGCCAGAGAATATGACTAAAACTTTTCCATTGTCCATACAAGACATGATCTCTTCCAAGGCTTCTAACTCGGAGGCTCCAAACCAAAAGACTTCTAAGGCTTCTAACTCAAAGTCAGGACCACTTGTCTCCTCCGGTATTAGTCGATATGCTTCATCCACAAAAAGAATACCTCCCTCGGCTTCTTTGATCTGTGCATAAAAATTATTATTATTTTTTTGTTAAAATAAACTATACATTATTCTAATATATGTTGCTAAGATATTCTGCATTTTTAAATATAAAAGGTAAAGAGAGGATACAAGTCCATCAAATTATATACATTTTTTCAATTAATAAATTTCTTACAATGTCGGGCATATGATATGAAAAGCAAAGTGCTCTACCTTCTTCCTAGTCTTATATCCAGTTTGACTAGCTAAATCTGTCCCTCGAACTTCTTTTACATTGTCAGTTTGTAAAATTCCCACACTATGGAGTAGTCTTCCAACGATTCGAGCCACCATAGTCTTACCTATCCAATATGAAAAAAATCAAATATTCCAGCAGCAATTTTAACTGATAAAGTAAAGATAAAGTAAGCAGCAATTTAACCTGTTCCAGGATTTCCTAGAAATGCCATGTGAGGAAGTCTTCCAGCAGTGCCGATTTCCAGTCCAATGGCCTTGCGCCTCTCATTCATAAGAATGCCCTTTGCCCATTTCCGAAGTTTCATCTTGAGTCCATCCAGCCCCACAATATTTGATAGCTCTTTTTCGAGGGCATCCATCCTTTCGTTTTGCTTGCTACATGCTTCAAGTAACTTAGTCTTTCGTTGCTCTTGTTGACGAGAGAGTAATAAATCACGCAACTTCCCACTTTCTTGGATCTTTGAAAGATGATCTATAGGAGTCATGCCCTCCTGCATTCCAAGTTACTTAAATTACTGCTATTTAGCATGAAATAAATTTATTATTTTAGAATATAAAATACATACATCGTCTGTAGCATCACAATCAGCATTATTCTCGAGCAATGTCTCGACAATTGAACAGTCTTCAGCTCGAATTGAGTGACGAACAGAAAGATTTAATGGTGTCACACCATACTGCATGTAAAAATAAGAAAAAAAATTAAACAGTCAAATCACATTTTTTGGAAAATTGGTACAGTAAGAAAGCACCTTCGTTTTGGCTTCAACAAGAGCACCATGAGCAAGAAGTAATCGTGCAGCTTCATTGCACCCATTCTTGGCTGCTACATGCAATGGAGTTTCTCCACGCTGCAAAACTCAACAGATCAGAAATTTAAAATTTATAACAGATTTTTTTTCCCCTTTTTCTAATTAAGCAATCATATTTTTACTAGCATATTTTTTGCTTTATATCACATTTTTGTAAATTTCTATCCGGAAAACTAATAAAGAACATATACCACATTTTTCGCTTCCAAGTCAACTTTATCATCTCCTTTCCATTCAAGCAGAAATTTCACTATTTGTGTCTTGTTGTTACTTGCAGAAACATGAAGGGGTGTCTCCAACCTCTGCACTTAAGCCAAAATGAATACATAAATTGGAAGATAAACACACTCACCTTAATTGTACTTAAATTAATTAATTTGGAAAGAAACTTATTTTTTGTTTCTTCTTAATTTGTCCAAAATCCTTTCTTATTTTCTTATAAAGTTTTTGTTTTTTGTCAAAAACCTAAAAAACAATCTAAAGAGTCAACTGACAAAATCTAATTCTTTCTTATATATTCATTAATTAAAAAATAATACTAAAAATAAAATTAATCTTACAAATGGATTTCTTTCATTGAGAAGATATGGATTATTCTGAAGTAGCTTCTGAAACCCATCAATATCCCCCAACTGAGCACTGTCATGAATGGTTTTAAGTTTCTCAGATCCTGGTGGTTGTTTATCCTGACCATTCTCCATGTCTATTTGTCTTCTCTCTTGATGATTAAGGAGATTAAAGAGAACGAAATAAAACAAAGCAAAATATTGCGTTTCCAACTGAGAGATTTATAAGCTTCTATATATGCTCATCTATTTTGCTTAATTTTATTGCGTAAGATGTCAGCATGGAATATTATAAAATCTTCAATGAAGTTTCCTTAGCTTTCAGGAACATTTTCCTCTCACTCTCACCAATAACATTTGTATCTCTAATGTCTATTTTTCTTGATTGACTTGACTTATGTGTTTGTCATCTGTTGAAGAAAGATGATTCGACCCAATGCTTCACCAATAACATTTTTTCTTCTTTGGCTTGCAGAGCAATTTCTCTGAAGATTCCATGAAGTTTCACAACTTCCAATTATTTAACCTTTCACGCTCTTCAACGACTTTATTTCCACTTTCATCTTCTTTTTTCCGGAAGTGGCCTTGGCTTTTTCTATTTCATTGTGTTCATCTCTTTTTCCCGGAAGATGCCTAAAATTATGAAAAAACTCTTATTATTAAGAGTTAGGTGGGGTTAAGTTTTCATTAGAGTAAACGACTTTTTCCCAACCCAAGGTTTGCCTTAATGACACTTTCCCACCCAAAAAGTTTCAAAAAACTAGTTTACTACCCAAAGTACAATTCCATTAGTAAATTTCATCGTGAATAAGGGTAGAATAGTCAAAACTCCATTATAAGTAAGGGTAGAATGGTCAATTATATTATAACTAACATTAATTAACCCATTTCCTCCCATACGACCACCGATTTTGGCAAAATCCGGCGCCACCAAACCTCCTTGATACTTCCTTCATAATCCTCTCATCGCCTTCTCCAAAACCCACTACCACACTCACCCATTGCATCTTCCATTTGGTGGTCGATGACCACTACTTCTTTGCGCGATCTCAAAGCTTCGATCTTGCTATTCTAAGCAAATTCTGACAGTAAAATTTTTCTCCGTCAACACCATTTGAACCTCCAATATCTTTTCTACAAAACCCTTCTCACTTTGTCACCTAATTTCTCGTCGATTGCCGGCCACCATAAAGCTAGAGTTTCTTATTCTTATTTAATTTTTGGCTGATTCTGGCAGCAAATATTCAACCGATCATCACCATTCTATCCACTACCCCCCACTCTACAAAATCCCTATTACCTTGGCACTTGGTAACTCGTCGAACATTGGCTGAGACTTGCCGCCAGCTGTTGTGATTGAGTTTCTTTTATCAATTCATTTGGCTTCGATTGGGTTGCTTTTTGGGTTAATTGGTTGTAATTGTCTATTCGGTGATTGTTTATAGTTGTATTTTTGGGTTGTTGCCATTGGTTTTGCCCTTTCCTAAGCACACAAACTGCTCAATAGATTGCCCCAAAGAGTATTGTCCCTAGTTCCAACGATTGAGGAGTTATTGTGGGTGGGGTTAAGAGGTGTTTTACTGAGAGAATGCCAGTGAGTTGAATGGTGGTAATGGGAATGATTTTTTATGTCGAAATCAACTAGAGTTTGGGTTGAGGTGTGCACAACTTTGATTTGCGAGGGCTGGTGATTGGGACTTGATCTTTAGTTGGGGCATTTTCGTATTCAAATAAATATCACTGTATTTAACGAAAATTAGTAATGATATATAACATTTGGGTAGTAAAAATGGTATTTTGAAACTTTTTGGGTGAGAAATGTAATTAAGGAAAACCTTGGGTGAGAAAAAGTCATTTACTCTATTTATTATATATATATATATATTTTTTTTTTTTTTTTTTTTTTTTTTGGGGGGGGGAGGCCCATGAGAATACACCTGACCCGAGAGAAAATGAATAACAAGATTTCTCATAGCCCTCAATCTCTCACTTGAATCGATTAAGATCCGCCGTCACATCGGAGGCGTCGCAAGTTCAAGGATCTTTTCACTCTAAGCCGCCTTACCTTTTTCTATTTCTCTTTTTCCTGGAAGATGACTAAAATTATTAAAAAAGAAAAACTCTGAATAGTAAGAGTTTGGTGTGCTTAAGTTTTCATTTGCTTCTTTCCTTTTTTTTTTTTTTTTTTTTTGAATCCTGTAGTTGTTCGTATACTGTTTCTCTTTAGAGTTAATGACTTTTTTTCACTCAAATAATGATTTAATAATATTTTTTACCCACAAACTTTAAAAATATCATTATATTATTCACATTTATATTTTATTTACTACCCATGTGAATTTACCGGCGAATGGATAACAAATTTGGTCAAGATATTGAGGTTTTTAAGAAGAGAAGGTGAATAAATCTTTTAGTGGTGGCATATTGGATTTTTATAGTATCGATAGTGGTTAAATATAATAAAGAAAAAAAAAAAAGTGAAGAGCATGATTGAGGATTTCACAACCACCAACGACCTTACGGATAACGAGGACTTGACATAGAATCATAAGATAGACAATTGGCGGTGGAGATGGTAAAGACGTGTATTTTTATTTTTTTTTTAGCTTATTAAAGTGAGAATAGTAATTTTATTTTAAACAAAACAAATTAAACTTATTAAAACTTTTGCCTTTTGATCACACATGGCTATATATGATTGGGTAGTATCACCACATAAACATAATGAGGTGGCACTACAAGAAACTTTTCTTGTAACGATCAAGCCTATTAACATAGGAAAAAATCTATCCTTACAAAGACCCATACAAAGAGGGTTACAAAGTGACATCATTCAGAAGAAAAAAGACAAAGAAAAAACGAAAAAAGAGAAAGAGAGAGAGAGAGAGAAATCATGAAAATCAAAGGTGAAGATTGTCTTTGTATGCCCCCTTTGTATGTGTTTTTGTAAAACTAGCATTGCACATTGACACAGATAGTTTGTCGCAATATAATGCCTATTGTGACTCCAATGGCATCGCATGAAAAATACTACAGATACCGACGCTTTACACCGAATTTTTACACTGAACAACGTGTTTACTGAATCAAAAGAACCACGTATTACGTTAACAAATATTCCACGAATGCATTGTTATTAGACGACAGTTCATTTGAAATGGACTTCTGTCTATATTATATGGACGACCGTCCACCTAGAATAGACGTCCGTTCATATTTTAAATTAAAAAAATTTGGTCTAAATTTTTTATGGACACTCGTCCTCTTATGAGGATGACTGTCCATACTTATGGATGCTCGTCCTCTTTATGAGAACTCACGTCCATCTTTTAATATTAACAAAATTTAAAATTTAAATTTATTTAATGCATTAATTGTCAAAAGTTGACAAAAATTATTTAATGCATTAATTTATTTAATTGGGCGTCCATCCAATTACTTTGAATATGGACAAAACTTGAATGAAGCTTGTACAATTAATTTAAACATTGACAAAAGTTGAATGACAAAATTGAATGAATATAAACAATGGACAGGACGCCTGTCCACTGAAAGAATTTCTTTTTAAAATTGTTTGGACGGGCGTGTCCATAATAAATGTAAAATTTTTTAAAATTGTTTGAACTGGCGTCCATTATTTTGCTTTTAAAATTTTTTGGACGAGCGTCCATAAATATTGAACAATCATTCATTCACAAAAGACTCCAATTGTGGTTGCGTCTGACTGGTTGCCATGTCCTTCGATATAAAAATTTGGTATAAAATTTTGGTCTCCTTAGCATTACTCAGCATCGCAATAGATTTGACGACTTTGCGATAGGTTTAGTCAATAAATTTATGCCTGTAAGGGCATTTTCCTGTAATTTTCATAAAAATCCTACAGTGACCCGGTGGCATCACAATAGGCTTAGTAAAAAAATGTTATAACCTTTGGCAGACATTTTTCTGCAAATTTCTTACACTTTTTTGTATGAAACAATATATATATAAAGTTTTAAAGGATTACCAAATAATTAAAACTTATGCGGAATTGATTGCTTGCTCAATTTTTAGAGCAAATGAGTTGTGAAAGAGATAAGCAAAACATACATTAAAGCAAGTAAAGAACACACTCTTTTTTACATATTTCAGCATCAAGCCTACATCCATAGGACCAAGTCTAGAGGAAGCAAATTCACTATGAAATACTTACGAATTCAAATACAAAGCAAGATAATCAAGTTGTAAAACACTCCATGTTTTCTACACGACAACTCTATCTTCTTTGGTTGAACTTCAAGTCCTCACAGCAACATCATGTTGAAGTAGAGCTCTTCTAAAGTTTCAACAATGAAGACAAATCTTAAGGACAGCGGCTTACACACAAGCTTTCGGCACCAAGGAAATAACATCCAAAGATATCACACAAGGACAAGTGAAGAGGGTAATTTTAAGCCTACCAAATCATAGTAAGAAACCTTAACCAAAATGAAGACCCCAGAGAGTATTCAGAGAGGAAAACAATTGTGATAAGATTTCTTGAAGGAAACGCCAGAAAAGTATGAATATATAGAGTTCAATGCGTCAAGGGTTGGGGGACAAAACAGTTAAATATTAACTTTTGTGTTTTTCTTTTTGTACAAGAAACTTGGGACCACAAACAAAAGCATGATTCTTTTTCTCACACAATGAATAGAAAGTGGACAAGTGGAAAAGCACATAACAAAATATCAATAAGGAATAATATTGTCCAAAAAGCAAAATGGGCACATGATTTGAGTTTGAGAAAAAATATATGCCAGATGTATTGTGAGCACGTAGACTCTAAAGTGCTCACACTGGTAAAGGTATTTACCTGTAGAGAGAGTGGCCACATTGACGAAAGGTAAAAGATTGTGCAAGACTCAAAACAGGATCATAAGATGACAAAAATACTAACAATCTCCCACTTTGTCACTTATGATTAAAGCACAATGTTTAAGAACAAAAGAAAAACATTTATCAAGGTAAGAGATCAAAAAGAAAAGTTAACACAAAACACAACTATTCTCCCTCAGTTATAAACCTCCCCCTCAGCAGAGACATAAGTCAAGAAGAAGTTGCCAAAAGATTTCCATATGAGATAGATCAACATGTCATATAAAAGAATCTGCATAGCCAAGGAGAGATTAACAA